ACTGCGGAAAGTAACGTCTGGAGTCGTTTATCAGATCTGATGCGGTTGCCTACAGAGTAACTACGTCGGAGGAACCGGAAGACAGCTCCGAACGCGAATGGCCGAGAACACTGCAGCGGTGCGCAGGAATGACGCCAGCTCTCAAGTTGCGGCTCATTCGAAGAGATCCGGCCACACATTTAAATTCGACGAGGCCGAAATTCTCGCAAGAGGTGACAATCGCGTGAGCCGGGAGCTGCTTGAGTCATGGTTTACTGGCCCCCAGTCAATTAACAAGTGCAATGATCTTCCCCTTCCATACTCGGTGCTGAGACTTCGCCTAGGCGGAAAAATAAGCCACGCGGGGAGCGCACCGGTGAACACCTTTCCCAACGCCAGGGTCGGTTGATCAGATGGTCGAGCAATCATCACACCAACGTCCAACGCACGTGATGAAATTGCAGCAATTAATGATGCGAATGTCGGCCATCAAACAGTCATCACACCAAGCGCAACGATCCCTGATGAAGGATATGCGGTAACCTGGCGACTGAATCCTGTAAATACTGCAACCCCTTGTTCATGAACCACCCGTATCTGCTTTTGTCTCTGATGATGGATGCACGCAAGAAGCCGAAGCGTCAGACGTATAAAGCTCTTGTCCCAGCGATCGTGTCTCCTTCTTCAAGTCTGAGGGCTGACGACAGAGGCGAAGACGCAAGTGCCATGATGCAGTCGGGATGACGGGACACGATCGTTGGAACAAGAGATTTATTCTGAAAGCTAGCTCCGACAAAGACAAGAGAGACTGAAACGGCCACTTCAGACTTGTTAGCCGTCATCAAGCAGCCAACCTGATTCGGCTGACTCTTCGTATTCATACTTAAATCCATCTTCAGAAACAGAAGCGCGCGACGTGCGACTACAGGCATACAGTTTCATTCACCGCATCCTATAAATACTACAACAATTGCGAAAAACACTACCCCTTATCAGGTTTTTTCTTCGATTGTGGATCCGAGTGTAAGTCCGAGACGCCGGATGAATAAGACTCCTGTTCCACGAAGACTACCGTCAAAAGCACCTTTATTTCGGTAGATGCACTTCAGGGCGTTGGAACACATTTCAGAGGCGGCTAAGGGAAATCAGAGCCTCGAACTATTCATTGCACAGTCGGTACTTCTGGCGCTGTCTACCAGGACAGGCAGCTGGCAGCTGCCCATTTCTTGATGTGGCCATTTTTCGATCATAGTCGACGGAGCGTGAGCCTGGGGCTGGGTAGCAGAATACTTATTTACGGTTTGCCTCAAAATCTATGAATTCGGTCCAAATCTCTCGTCTCCCCAGCGTGGACTTTGCGTTCGGCTGGTTGACAACGATGGTGAGGCTAAAGCCGCCAGAGAGATTTTGCTATACGTGTCGTCAAATCCCTCTCAATTGACTTATATTGCTCACGCTTAATATCCGGACTAAAGACGAAGAGAATGTAGAAAGTTATCTCAGTATTACGAAGCTGCTGGTCGTTCGGTCGAACCTTCGAAATGGGACTCGGCGACAAACTTGAAAAAACCGACTGCGTCGGCTTCCCTCACCTTATCCCTCCAATTTGATTGCAGGTACTGTCGTGTTATTTGTCACTTGAGATAAAAAGTGAAGAGGCGAAACTAGATGCAGCTTCCTATCGGGCTGCTTCATGCTCAGGTGTTGGTATATAGGATAGAGGCTCTCAAACAGGTCAAACGTCGCGGATAGTCTTCGCGCTTTTCTATCCTCGCTATGACAGAGAAATGCCATGGCGTGATGGTTACCCGTCTCAGTTTCCCCCACATCCCTTATTGCCTACCAGCGCTAGCCGCCCAAAGCCTTATCCGCCCCCCAGCACACTCAAAAACCCTCCTCGAGGGGGCTTCGATTGAATTTAGATGTTCGCTAGCGTGAGCAAACGTGCGTGTGTGTACGTGCTTGCGTGTTTATTAGTTCATGCACTCTTCCTCCCCCGTCCTCCCACTCCGGCCGCCGGGCCGTACCGACGAGCGTTGTTCGAGACCGCTCCGCCCTGCCGACCCGACCCACAGATCATGCGTCCTCCCCCGCAACCTCGATGCCGCGACATTTGGGCGGGGAAGAGGACACGGGGAAGGAAGAGGAGGCAATTAGAAGATGGCGGGTGGGGATGGATACATATATCGTGACAGCGCCGTGAAATTTGAACGTCAATCATGAAAGGCGAGCGATAGAAATCGGCCATCCCAAAGCCAAGGGCGGCGGTGGTCGCGGCGACAGGCACAGCGCATGTTCAGCTTCTCACGATGCTCCGCATTGGCGAGATATTAACCACCAACCCCCACCGCCAGCTCCTAGGCGTGTGTAGGCTGAGTATTGAATTCCCTGCTTCACCCCGTGCCTTAATGGAGCCGTTTAGAGAGCGTTGAGCCGGCGAGGCCGAAGGGACAGGGGAAGCAGACTAGGGGCAAACATGCAGGCAAACACTAAAAATTGTGACGATAAATCACGAGAGGACTCTATATGAATGCCTCGGTGAAAAAGAAACAGTAGCAGCGGCAGTGGAAGTGGCAGTAGCATCCTTACTACAGCTCGCCATTTGGCGCTTCCACAAAGTAACATGAGCCAAGACGTAGCGCCGTGGAAGGCCAATTGATACGATGAATGAAGAAGGGTAGTGGCTACAAGACAAATTTAAACTCTCCTCAGATAAAAATCATTCTGAATCTCCGGTATAGATCCATAAGCACACAAGGGAGGCTGATGATGGCGCACATGGTACATAAAACTCACTTTTAGTCTAATTGGACCCGTTCATAGCGGTAATTGGACTAATGACGATATAAAACAAATTTTTATAAAGGCCCTATATCCCATGAGAAGACTGCGATTTCAATACAGCAGGTCAGGCAAACATTGAGAACGTGGTGGCGGTACGTATTTCGGACATTTATGGTTGATTGTTCACGCCCAAATGTTCATATGACTTATGGTCTTACACCGGTCAAACTAAAATGGAAGAAGGCTCATAAGTCAAAGTCGACTTTTTAGAACAGTCATACATAGCGTAATCTGATATTAGAGATGTAGGCATACATTAAACGATTCCGAAATTTTCTATGGAGGAAATTGTCTTAGTAAGTAGCCTTCCTTATCAGGCCTGGAATTGCATGACAGAGTTGGTGGGGATAACAATCTTAGGCAGAAGACAACCATAATGAGATTCACTAAAGCACTTTTATAGTCGTAAAATTGGATCGAAAAACAAATATATCTTAAAGGCCAGGTGCTTGACTTGAATTACGGCATAAAAGATAAAAAAGAGGATTAGAGGACACGAGTGTACGTGGCGTGTGATTGCAAACATACCAGCAGAGAGTAAACTTCGATACGGAGCATAAGGTTTGTTCAATAATGCCTGTTGAAATAAGCGTGCTCGTACTGTTGAGAGTATTCATTTTAAATGCTGAACCCCTTTCTGAGTATCGATTTGTTATCGAGCTATGCCGAGTTGCTTCAAAATTCCATACACCTTATAATATACGTCAAGACCTAACGAACGCAAAATTGGTCTTGCAAGCAAAGGGCGGGTTAAGTCAGCCAAATAAGGCGGTTGAATATGCTGAGTTTGCTTTTACTAAGAATGGTCGGTAAGTATCTGTTCACACACACACACACACACACACGACAGCCCGACCGTCGATTTCGACGATGTCCACCGTGTGCCCCGCAGCTGCAGCTGCAACGGTGGGAGCAGGGACGGTGACCTGCGCAAGGGTTTATAGTGCCAGTAGACTCGCGCTGCACCTACCTACACTCTCTCCTCCTCCCCCGCCGGAGCCGGAGACAAAGTCAAGAAGACCGGAGACGAGGGAGGCCGCGGGTGGATGGCTCGGACGGATCCTCACCATGGCGTTCCATCACACCCCCTGGTCCACACAACAAATAACCAGGATTTCCATTAACACAAGACAGATTTCGAGGCTGGTACGGTCGAAGCCGCACCTAGGCATGCCGCCAACGCCTGGCTCGGATCACACACTGTGTCGGGAGTGCCATAAACGCCACATTAAAAAGAAGCCATTGCAGCCTGACTCTCAGACCACCACCGGTCAACGAGGAGGTCCAAGTTACCCCGTCAGTTGGCAACCTTCCAAGCCACGGCCTTTAGCGCACCGTGATAGCTTCGAGCGCGTCAGATTGATTATAGTGAGGAAAGTGCGCTGAGTCGTCGACCTCACTCTCCCTTCCCATCCCCACACCCCAGCCACTGTCCGAGCCGGTCAGCGGACGAGAGTGGGAAATGGGCGCGGTAGCTGGCACGGTCGAATGACCATGCCTGCGCGCGCCACAGCACGATCTGGCCCCCCAAACACACACACAAACATCGGGATTTCACACAAAGGGGGTTGAACAGCGTGTCTCTCACTTGAGTGAGAGGGCCGTGGAAGATGCTGCTTCAGCCCGTCCCCAACCCACCAGTCCGCCACTCCACACAACTCACACACAACGCGACGAACTGAGTGAACCGAGAGAGAGCGTCAGTCAGCAACCTTCCCATCCACGACACTTGACGTGTCGGGGTAGTCTCGGACTCAGGTCACCCCTGCAGCCGAAGCTGCATGGGGACCGAGTCGAGATGCACACTTCCCACTTTCGTGGGAGGTGGCAGTTGGGTGCATGCGGTGGGCGCGTGTTGATGTATGGTGGTGATGGGCGCGCAGGGCGATGGAGCGAGGGTGGTGCTGGGCATGGTGGGCGTGTTGGACGTGGTTGGTGTATCGGAATTGTGGTCAATTCCGCCCTCGTGAATGGGCATGTGGCCGAATAAACCCATGCGATGCCTGAAGGTGCGAGGGCAGTGTGGGCAGTGGAGGCGGGTGCGGTGGGTGTAAGTTGGTGCTCCAGGCATTGGTTCGCCAGTCTCTGTGCGATGGATTCGCAAGTGACTGACCAGGCCGATGCGAGATGTGAATGTGCGTGGAGAGTGTGGGCAGGTAAATTCGGTGGTGTCGGTGTTAGCTGCGGGAAGGGCGGTGGGGACGCAGGATGATGAAGTGGAGGTGGGGTTCGGCATGATGGATGAGTCGGTATTGCGGCCAATTCCGCTCTCGTGAATGCGCATGTGGCCGAATAGACCCATGCGATGCCGTGTCGAAGGCTTTCGTCAGATCCACGAAGATAGAATACAGATGGGCCTGCATTTCCTGGCACTTCTTCGGAAGTTGACGGGCGGCGAAGATCATATCCGTGGTCCCGCGATGACGGCGGAAGCCGCACTGGCTTTTCGGCAGAAGGCCCTGTTCCTGATGGTTATTGAGGCGGTTGAGGAGGATGCGAGCGAAGATCTTCCCGACGATGTTCAGCAAGGAGATGCCGCGGTGATTGTCGCAGACTTGGCGGTTCCATTTTCGCTTGTATAGGTGCACGATGGTGGCGTCTTTGAAATCTTGCGGGACTTCACCTTGACGCCACATCTCCTGGAAGAGCTCAGTCAGGTGATCCATGAGTTGGGGACCTCCGTGCTTGTAGACCTCGGCAGGGATTGCGTCCGATCCGCTGGAGAGCTGCTGCACGGCCCTGATGGGTTCCTGGAGAGATGGCGGGAGGTCAAGGTCCACGTTGGTCGCCACTTGCGGCAAGCGGGCGATGACGGCGTCGGAGATGGCGGAGGGGCGGTTGAGCACGCCTCGAAAATGCTCGGCCCACTGCTGTAGAATTTGTGTCTTCTTGGTCAGGAGGGTACGTCCATCGGCGCTGAGGAGAGGAGCAGTGCCCTTCGTCAGCGGACCGTAGACAGCTTTGATCGCAGAGAAGTTCTTCCATTCGTTGCGGTCGGCGTATCCTTGGATCTCCTCAGCTTTTCGGGCATTCCAGGCGTCCTGCATCTCGCGCAGTCGTTGCTGAAGTTGGCGATGACTGCGGTAGAAGCAGCTTTGGTGGTATCAGTGGCGTGATCTACGTAGGCTGTGTGTAGGCGGTTCTTCTCGGCGAGCAGGTTGTTGATGACGGCGTCGTTGTTGTCGAGCCAGTCCTGGTGTTGGCGGGGAGCGCGACCGAGGACGGCGAGCGCCGTCGACTGGACCGTGTCTCACAGTTGACACCAGCGGTTCTCCACGGAGGCGATAGGAAGGTTGTCTAGCCGTTGAGCTAGCTCATTGCTGAAGTGAAGATGGTGAGCGGGCAAAGACAACAAGGCAACATTCAGCTTACCTAAGGGTTGCTTACCTTGTGGTCTCCTGCGAGGCTGTAGGCGAATACGCATCTTCCAGATGACGGGGCGACGGTCAGTCCACCCATCAGCACCCGCTATCGCCCTTGTCAGCAGCACGTCCCGCTGATCTCGCCTCCGGACGAGGACATAGTCCAGCAGATGCCACTGACGCGACCGAGGATGCCTCCAGGTGGCCTTCTCTCGTTCCGGCAGGGAGAAGAACGTGTTCATCAGGATGAGGCGGTGTTTTGTG